AAAAAAAAATCAAAAACTTTCTTAGAAAAGGTAAATGAATTTCAACATGCTGTACCTAACACATAAAGCAAACAAAAACAAAACAAAACAAAAAAGACTACATATTTTGGCACAGAGATGAAATAAAGAATGCATTCAATGGCGATGAGATTCTAAAGTTCAAAAGATCAAGATAACTGGTATAACCCTCCAAAAAAGACTTAACACAGCCATTTAAGAACATAACCAAAACCAAATTTTGGTAAGGCTGGAAGAAATATTTCAGTCATCTTCTGAAATAAACAATCACAATGTAAGGCCTTACAAAAGACTATAAACAAAAGGATGACATAATCAGCACTATAATGGGCTAAACTGTGTACCCCAAGAAAGATGGGATAAAGTCCTAATTCCCACAACCTTAGAATGTAGCTGTTTAGAAACAGGATCTTCTGAATTAAAATGAGGTTCTCAGGGTGGCCCCTAATCCAATGACTGGTATCCTTATAATATGGGTAAATGTGAACAAAGAAAAACACACACACAATGACCATAATGTAAAGACACATCCATGTGACTGGAATGATATCTACCAGCCTAGAAATACTAAGGATCCTGAGGAAACATGAGATGCTGGGACAAGCAAGCAAGGTTTCAGCTGCCAGTAAGAGGATGGCCCTGCTGACACATTGCCTTTGTACTTCTATACTCCAGAATTCAAGTATGTTGTTCTTTTTGTTTAGTTGTTTTGGATTTTTGTTTGTTTGTTTTTTGAGACAGGTCTCTTTGTCACCTGGTCGAGAGGGCCATAGCATCATCATAGCTGGTTGGGCTCAAGCAATTCTATGTCAGCCTCCCAAGTAGGTGGGATTACAGCAGCGGTTCTCAGCCTGTGGGTTACAACCCCTTTGTAACAATGAAAATACACAGAGAGGCATTAGGAAGGTTGAGAACCACTGGATTACAGGCATGTGCTATGGATGTAAACTAGAGTAGGCTGGCATTTCCCTGAGATCTCAAGTGGGTTATGGCCCTGAGTTTCACCCACTACCTCCCCACCACAACCCTCTGTACTGCAAAGCACCCCTATGGTGAGGAAAGTAGGTGGAATGTCCAGCAGAATAGATAAGAAAATAGTCTGGGAAATGACTAGCTAGAGATCAACGGCTTAGAGACAAGAATATAAATAAAACTAGGAAGTAATTAATTAATTGCCCCCTGCAGATACCCCTGCAGATACCCTGAAGGCACCTTTACCTATAGACTCTAAATTTCCTTCATTAAATTCTCTCCAAAGTATTCTTTGATTTGTACCTTAGTACTCCCCTGTCCTTCAGCCTGATATCTTTTTTCCTTGAATAAGGAATTACAACATGAAACTGTTACCTTTTCATTTTTTTGCCTTTGTGTATACACGCCTCCCCAATTTTCTAATAAACAGCCTTGGATATTGGGCTCCCAGCAGCACCTGTTAGCCTCACAAGGGGCTTATACAGTGTCATCTCTCTTGGGTCTGAACACATATGTAAAATTTTCAGTGCTTTCTCTCCCTTTATCTACCAGACCCTGGGCAGTCAAGCAAAATCCCTATGCAGAGGCACCACTAGTCCACCACCTTGAGATTCAGTTCTTGGGTTGCAATAATGTGCCACTACATCTAGCTTATTTTTCTATTTTTCCTAGAGACAGGTCTCCCTCCTGCTCAGGCTGTCTTGAACTTATGGCCTGAAGCAATCCTCCCATCTCTGCCTTCCAAAGTGCTAGGATTACAGGAGAGAGACACCATACCTGGGTAAATTTGTTGTTTTAAGCCACCAAGTTTTGGATACTTTGTTATAGCAGCCTGAGGAAACTCATACATGATAGTCTAATACTAAATCATACAATAACTAAAATCAAGTACCAGCCCACTGAAGTACTTCTATATTAATTAGCAATAAACCAACATTTGTCACCAGAGTATCAAAAAAAAACAAAAAAAGATCAATGTTTTGATATATAAATGCAAATCTATCCTTCAGTATAGACAACAAATACGTATGAGTAAAATATTTTGTAAAAGGCACTAGTACCTTCAAAGCAAGACCACTATACTCACATGTATGATCTACTTCATCAGTGTCACCTAAATCCATTCTAGGCATTTAAAAAGTGTTACATTTAGGTAGTAGCCTAAGTCTTTCCATAATCAATTCCTAGAAAAGTATACCAAAAAATAAAACATGCAAAAATCACATAAATTTGTTTCTAAAAAGTAAAAAAAGCAGATAAAAGCCCTAAATACATTTCCCCTTTTAGGTATAATTTTGACTTTGTATTTCTCACATCCCACACACGTAATATGGTTTTTGCTATGCAAATGACAAAACAGTTGAGCTGCTTGTGACCAATAAGTATCCAACTGGGACTAAAGCAAGCCTAACAATTTCTACCTAATTCTCAGCTTCCGTGATTTTGAAACCTAAACAGTTCTCAATATTATCTCACATTCATTTTTCTACCTCTTTCTTATTTTCATAAATGCACAGTATAGAAAAAATATTCTAACAGTCACATAAACACAACTGTGAAAAACTGGTGACACTCCCAAAACTAAACTGTTTAGGAGTTAGCACCAGCAAGCAACGGCTCAAAGAGTTAGTCATCTGATCTGCAAAGGTCTTCATTTAGCAGTAGGACACATAAATCAAAGATGTTACTATATTATATACCAAAAAAGGAGAACTGTTTGAAAGTCATAAGTACAAAAGTATGTTCATCAAGGAGCAAACTCCCAACGTATGCTAGCAAACTAGAGCTCTAACAAACAAAATGGTCAGAGTATTTTTTTTTAAACTAGTGAAAGACAGTTCATGGTCAGCTAAAGTGAGGTTAACAAAAATAGAACAAAAACACTCTTCTAAGGACATAACATATAAGAACAGCATAGTTATAGGATATTAGAAAGAAAGTGAGGTTGGGCAGCGCGTGTGCCGGCCCCATATACCAAAGGTGGCAGGTTCAAACACAGCCCCGCCCAAACTCCAACAAAAAAAACAGCCAGGTGACATGGTGGGGGCCTGTTGTCCCAGCTACTGGGGACGCTGAGGCAAGAGAATCACCTAAGTCCAAGAGCTGGAGGTTGCTATGAGGTGTGACACCACAGCACTCTACCAAGGGTGACAAAGTGAGACTCTGTCTCAAAAAAAAAGAAAAAGAAAGAGAGGTCAAAATCTCTAAAGACGACATGCTGTCCTTATTCTGAAATAGGGGCACTCATCAGTCATACTACAAACCAAAGAACAGTCTTCGTAGGTATGTAATGGGGAATGCGTTACTTAATAATTAGTTATACCCACACAGTTAACAGCAATATCCTCAAAGCAGAAATTGCTTAATTATCAGAAAATCTGTTATCTTTTCTCTTTAGAAGAGTTATTTGGTAGATTTGGTAAACAGAGAGCTGAAATGAATGGTCACAGTGCAAAAATGAGGCCACACTTAGAACTTAGCAAAGGATAAAATATTTTAGAATGTCTGAACTGATTGCTTCCTTCACTTTAATTATTAGGAAAGAATGTTTTAATCCACTCACTTGCAGCTCAAGAAAAATACTTACAGGAAGGGATAATAAACTGTGGTTCTGTATTTCCAGCATATCCTAGTTTTGTATACCTGAAAAACAAAAAGGTATCTGTTAAGATTTTACTAATATTTTACCAATTATAAATTTGGAAATAACCTAAATATCCATCAAACTGGCAACTAGTTTAATATGCTAATTTTTTTTTTTTTTTTCCAAGAAACAAGGTCTTTCTCTGTTGCCCAGGCTGTAGTGTAGTGATGTGCTCATGGCTCACTGAAGCCTTGAACTCCTGGCCTCTGGCCTCAAGTATTTGGCCTTCCTCAGCTTCCCAGGTAGCTAGGAGGATTGATGTGTGTCACCACACCTGCCTAAGCTTTATTTATACTTTGGAATATTATATAACTACCAAAAGATTCTGAAAAAGCTCTTTATGTACTGACATAAAATAGTTTCCAAAATGTATTATTAACTGAACAAAACAAGATATAGAACAATATATATCAAATATGGTATGTTTGTATAAAAGTAATGGGGGTAAGAACACATAAAATATATTTGATTATATAGGCACAAAACATCTCTGGATGAATATACAAGAATCAATCATTGTAGTTGTCTCCAGAAAAGGAAACTGCATAGTGATGAGAGGAAAACTTTTTAATTATCTTTTCATACTATTCAAATGGATTACTATTCAAACATGAACATAATTATACCCAAACCTACTCCTAAATACCTGTGGTAGGCAACCAAGCTACTACTCACATTCCTGGATTCCAATAACATATGCAGAATTTTTTTTCTAATAAAAAATGAAAAAATATCTCTTGGAGGGATGTTTTAGCCCCAAAACTAAGTTTGAGAACTGAGTTGTTCCAAATTGATTAAGTCACTGAAAATAAGGGGAAAACATAAGCGGTTCAAAATAGAATATTGCTCTATTGACTAAACTCTCTCAAAGGTTCACCACTGTCCATGTTAAAAATATATATATAAAACTGCTTTGCAAGCCATATAAAAAAGTCCCTTTAATAACTGGTCCCTGACAACCTCTCCTAGCTGCCCTGATACCAAATGAGATTCCCTAGCCATAAAAACTGTTGACAGTGACAGTCCAACTCATTTTCATGCCACTAAGACATTATTAACACTGTTCCTTCCCACTTACTATGCTAGATGCTCTCCTTCCAACACTGAATTCAACTTAACTATACCACTCTTACTCATCCTCAATAAGTTAGGTATCAATTGCCTCAGTATGAAAATTTTCATAACCTCCCCAGATGGTTTACTACCTCTGTCCTGATAGGTACAAATATTACTTAATAGTAATTCCTGAGTTTGATTCCATCATCCATAAAATCAGAAAAAGTAAACTCAAGATTGTTGAATATTAAATAACTAGGTAAGCAGTACCTGGCACAAAGTATACACTTAATAAATGTCAACTCTACACTTTCATCTAGTCTCCCTAAATTTTTTATTCCTTCCATAATCATAAACGCCATGTAAATACCAGAACTTTTAAATGCTTACAGTTATAATACAAATTATCCCTTTTACTCGTAAACCAAAATCATTCTATAGAAGATTCTCAGATTGTAGCTTATGTCTACTTTTATCACTCTTCCACCACCAAGTATTTTTCTGTTCTTCCAATCCAGTCCCTTAATAATGTCAAACCTTCAAATGTGGAAAAAAAAAAACAACTCCTGTAATAGAGGGAGGTCAGCACGACTGAATAGCTCACACTCCACTTTGTCTATAGACAAAAAAAAAAAATTAGAATTACTCAAATGCACAAAAGCACCATCAACTGATGGGAATAATCTGTTCTCACTGACCTCACTGAAACTAACAACATCCCAGCTAAGAGTGTAGAATTAAAACAGTACCCAAAAAAGTATAGGCTACGGTGACAGTGACAGGAAAAAGGGCCAACAGTACACTTTCACCCCCAATGGACTAATGGAAATGAATAGTACACTGT